AAGATGACATCAGTAAAGCAAAAGTTGGTGCCCAGCAGATAAGTGGGTGTTTAGCAGAAAATTTTGAAGAAAGTGGGCAAGATGACAGAAAAGGATGTGATGAAGTGAGCTCATCATTTGTACCTGTGAGTGTAGGATTGACTGTGGGGGAAGAGGAGGTGGAACTGTAATGGGGAACCTGCCAAGTAACTGTCTGGTTTTGAGAGTTTTTAGTGTCCCAAGGAAAAGCTCCAGAGTGTGGTTTGAAAACAGCCATCGCAGGGATCTTAGTGCTATAAGAAAGATGCCCCTTCTGAGTGTTAAACTTGGCCTGTGAATAATGGAAGTTTTCGCACTTGCTCCATTGGTGTGTGGGATAAATCACACCACCTCTGCACTTTAGCCTCCCTACTGATAAGAGAAGGCTGCTGATAACAACCTTTCAAAACATGATGACTGGAAGGATTCTGGAAAATGTGACTCAGAGCAAGTCTTGGTTAGGCCTACGTGTTTGAAGGGACAAGAGATGCTCCAGACTTCACTCACTGGATTGAGAGCCATTCACACATGAAAATTAAAAGCCTAGCTGTTCTCATTTCACAGGTACATTAAGAGAAATACCGCTGTCCTTCCATCTTTACAATCATGGCTAGGGGAGGAGAGAGCTGTGCACTTGAAGATAAGCAAGTCTACACTGATTATTCTGCTCCTTAAAATTTCTGGAATTTCTACATCTCAAAACTTTATAAAGCCTCAAATCAAAAATGAGAATTTATTTTCACTGAAGTGTTCTCATGGTCAGGAAATCTTCCACGCAAAGCAGAATCTAAACAGACAATACGATTTGCGTAAACTTGGAACATTCAAGGCAAATTCTGCAGGAATTTTGTTTTAACATTGTCCTTCTTCTAGGCTTGAAAAATAAAAGCTAACCCTTTGGAGTTTTTAACCCATGAAACAGAGATCTCTGTTCCACTTAGAGAGTGTGGAAGGTAGCTACAAATGTCACCACAAAACCAGCAACACTCACTCGAAATATTGCCACTACCGCAGACAACAGAGGATACCGCTATAAAGCCAGTCGTTAATCGCTGGCTTCAGTACCCAGTGCACTCAAATCAAGAACATAAGGGCAAACAAATGTTTAACTTCTGTCTCCAAGTACCTCATCAGTGCACATTGGCCCTTTAGATTTAATGAGTCATCCTGCTAACTATTTAATGCACAATCACCCACAACCCATTAGCAAACACCTTCAGGAGGCAAAAGGAGGGACAAGTCTAAACAGAGTTAGGAAGGCATTTGCCAACACAATCTTACCTCCTCCTTCACTAATGGCTTTTCTTTCTCTTCCCTGTGTTCTCAAGGACAACATCAGGTGAGGGCTGCTGGGGAAGGAATTAGCCCTTACTTCATGTCTGGAGAGGCCAGGGCCCCTTCCAGGACAGTGCATCTCCTGGACAGCCACACACACACATGCACCTGGGTCTTCATTGCCGCCCAGACCCTACAGTCTCTCTGGCAGCTTGCCGTGACTCCTGTCCCTCCCTTTCTTCCTCTGTTTTCTTATGCTTTTTATTCTGCAAGTCACCCTGACTCCCCTTCCTCCAGTTCCTTCCCTAAACACCCCCTATTAAGTCTTGCTCAAATCTCAAATGCTCTCCCTTTGCACGATAAAATGTCCCATGAAACTCTCCCTTCTCACCCATCAGCTCCCATTCCCTGTTTGGGTGGATGTCACAGGGATGATCTGCCTCAGGGATGATCTCTCCCGGGACAGCCCTGAGGGGAGCCGGAGCCCAGTGCAGGCTGCCTGGCTCCATTGGCGCTGCTCTTCTCACCCATGAGCTTCCACTGTGTCAGCACGGCCAAGCAGGGCCGTGGGTTGTTGGGCTCTCCAGGTGTGCAGCCACAGCCTGGACAGCTGGGAAATGACTGTGGATTTACAAGCCTAACATTGCATGTATTAGTCAAATGCATGAGTACAGGCTATACCAGACCTGCTCACGCATCCAGACTTGTTCAGGGTATAACCACACTGAAGCCTTGCTCTTTCTCTCTTCCCCCTTTTCCCCCTCAGGAACACGTTGCCAAAAAAGATTCTACGAATTCTGGTGAACTTTGGTACTCGACTGTCAGCCATGATGTAAAACATGACATCTCTGTGATTGACAGCAATTATCAGACAGAATATGCACTTATCAGTGTGCCTGAGGGGAAGGCAAATGTCACCAGCCCTGAAGAGCACAGTGAATATGATGATGTCCTGGTAACTTAAAAGGTATTCTTTTGCCTGAGTGTGTGCAGCCATGATGACCATCCCTCTGCTGCCAGAGCTTCAAACAAATACCTCTCTCGTTACCAAACTTACTCATTAGACTACGTCTGCCAATCATTTACTGTGAGACAAACCTGTCCATGAACAGCTGATCAGAGACAGAAACATGGACTGGGTAGAGGACTTGACAATTAAACCAGGAGGAATCAGTAGCAACTGCCATCATATGACAATGTTCCCCTATAGAAAATTAGGTGCTGCAATATTTTAAGCAACTGAGGCTGTACATTTTTCTGGACTTTTAGACTTTTTTTAAAGGGGCCTTAAAGAACTACTGCTATAAATCTCAAAAATGCAATAATAACAGGGTTTTTCTGTTTGTTTGGAGAATGTTTCATGTTTTAAATGTAAGTATAAACCTTGTGTTAGATGCACTTACTGTTGTCCAAAATTTCTCTGACATGCTTGATTTGTACCATTATACAATGCACAGTTTTTATAAAGAACTCATTTCTCAAATTCCCCCCCCCCCTTCTAATGTAATACTACTTAGCATGAAGTCTTAAAGTTGGAATTAAATAAAAAGCCCCAAAACAATAAAATGCACACAAAACAAATATTACACCCATGAGAATACTGTTGATACTGATGCTGATAACTGCCTCTCAGTGGCAGAAGTCCAGGTGCTGCTTCCATGACACAAAGCTTCCACAGCTCGCTCCTGCTGAAGTCTCCAGTTTGGCCTAATGCTGGAGTGTCACCACCTCACAGTCCAGCCCCGCCTCTGTAAGCAGTCTGGACATGTGTGAAGGACTGAAACCAGGTATTCAGCTGTTTACCAGAGCTCACAAAGTGATTATGTGTCTGTGTTCTTGCTTAAGCAGGTTTTTTCACTCGCTCCATTTCTGTAACAAAACAGTATGGAAGAAGATGCTGAACAGCGTTTCTGATTTTAAGTCTTCCTTTGTATGTGATTGCTGGCTGCAGCCCTGGCTTTATGGTGCAGTGCCTTTGTGACTCCCACATGCCATTTCCATGCTGGGGATGGTCCCATGGGCAAGTGCACAGAGCAGTGGATGGACACACTGCCAGATGTGCAGGTATCACTGCTGTGGCAGGCAGCTGAGTCTGCCCAAAACTCATACTGGCTGCTGTGGCTACACAGATGACACCAGCCATAGGATCTTAAAGGGCTGATTGTACACTCCACAAGCTGCTTTTTAACAATGTCTCAGTTGTCCCAGTCATTATTATCCTCATTCCTTCTATTAAAATTAATATTGATCATTCATACAAAATATTGTGGTGTAATAATGTGCTTTTAAATTATTTTTTAATTATTACTTGATGTAATAATGTGCTTTCACACTGCTGTGTCTCTAATGGATTGAGTCATAATTAATTCACTTTTTAATTTTTTTACATGATCAATTTACCTCACCGATATATAGCCAGAAACTACTTTTTTTTTGACACTTCCTTCAGTGAGAGTTCAAATCCTGACTGGATGCAGTCTGTAAAGTCAGACATTTTCTGTTGAATATCACATCTTACTACAGCTCCACCTCTTTCTTTCCTGTGAAGTTCTGGGGTAAATGTACGGACACAAAGGAGGATGGCTGGGAAAAAAATGAATGCTTGACTCCTTTCTCAACTCTTAATACCTATATAAGTATCACCACAAAGAAGTTAAATCATTATATTATTTTTCAGTTCCTAGAATCAAGATACAGAAGTGTTCAAGGAAAGGATCAGGTGTCTCAGTGAGAGCAATAAGATTGAGCAGCATCTCAACAGCAATTTATTTCTTTGCTGCTGGTACTTTCATAGCATGCTGCTTTTGGGACAAGCCATATAAACCATGATGTTTATCCTTCCCCAGCATAAGAATCAAAAGGAATCTCTCTTCTACATGTATGCTGCAAAGATTATTACAGCAAGAGAAATTATAGTTCCTGTATCTTAAAATCCAAGAGAGAATCAGAAGAAGTTGCAAATATGAGAGTCATGCAAACTACTAATTTGATCCAGAACATTTCTCAAACTCAGTTTAAATGCATACAACAACAACAGCTATGGGTTTGAGCGTACAGCTCTGTCAGACATGCTTCATACAGCCCGGCATTTAGAATTCCGATGGCTATTTTCCAATTCACGCAGTTGAAAGACCAGAGTTGCTAAAGAATGAAAACAGTCACTTTAATAGCAAAAAATAAATAATTTAATGCACAATAGCATTGTCAGATTACTCCTTAAATAAACTAGTAATATTAGAAAGAGAAAAGAATTTTCCATTACATATTTCTTACAATACAAAATGCTTCTTAAAATACAAGTTCTATCCAACAGTACTAACATTTATAAGACTACAAATAAATGACAAGATGCAATTCACTCACATGGTAGTGAATATGTTCCATTCTGCATAAAGTTAATGCTTAACTTTTACGTTATAGCCAGTTACTGTCTGTAACTTTTGTGCCACTCTGGCCTGTCTTCTGCTCCAGCACCATCCTCTTGGCACTGATTCATCTCCTCTGGTCTCTCATCAACAAGAACAGCTGTTTACTGCCTTATTAAGGCAAATATCTTACATCTGTTCATTTTTATCCCCAGTGCTAGGCAGGAACTATAATTAAGGATATAGACTTACAAATTTTCAGATTTACAAAACCAGGTAAAGTATCTGTCTATTCACTAGTAGCAGTAGCTAACTGTAAAAGCACACTGCTAATTCGACCCTTTAAATATTCCTGTGACATTCAGCTTTGTTAGTGAATGAGACATGTCTCTTCGTGCTGTTGCTTTCTTCTTTCATATTGCACACTGAAGACGAGAAAAATAGAGCAAAGAGCACCTTATCCAAGGAGGCTGTAGGAAGAATAAGGAAATTATGAGAGCTGAAGCATTCTTAAGAAGCTAGTGCAAAGGCCTTGCATGTAATTAAAGAATACAAATACACACAAAACATATATATATATATATATATGTGTGTATGTATGTATTTAGGTTTTATAAGGAAAGAGCAAGTAAATGTGACATTTTTTTGGAGGGAAAAAAAGTAACAGAGATGAGTTTGAGTGGAAGTGAGCATTGAGGATGAAGCTGTACAGATTATTTTGTATAAACCAAGAGAAGAAGAAAGGAGTCACGTGCAAGACTGCTTTCAAAGCTCATGCAGAACATTCAGATTTAATCATAAGTCAAGGCAAAGCAGAGCTTTCAAAGTCAACAGAGCATGCATCAAATACATTATTTTCTCAAGGGTGAAATGGATTACTGAGATATAGGAGAAGGAGGTAGTGGTGCTATAGCAATACAACACTGTCATAAATATACCACATTTTTATTTACAGTATTGCACCACAGGCCGTATTTATAGGACAACAATTTTAGAAGTGCTTCTACCTAATGAATAGTTCCCTGCCCTGGGATTACTTATAGATAGGGAATCGCATCTCTTCTAGGTGGTGATGAAGATGAGGAATCTTTCCATAATTTCTCTGAAAGTTAAAACAGTACTATATTAATATTAAAATGAAACTTTAAATAGTTATTTCAACATATTATTTCCTGTCTCCTTTTACACTACTTTTTCTAAGAATCCTGTCAATATATAAGGAACAAAATGCTTCTAAAAATTGGAACTCATGACCTGTTGATCTCTTGTCCCTTGGTAAGAGTCCCAAGAAAAACCAATATGAGTTAATTGCAAACCTTATTTACCTACGCTGCAATGCTGAATTGTTAGCCTAGGATTATTCTAAAAGCACATAGGTGTGGCTCAGTAAATTGGCACTGGGGGGAGGCAGCTCCATGCATTGTTTTTAGTATAGGTTCAAAGCTCATGGGACTTTTATATGGGCATTTCTATCAGGACAAATATAAATGCATTGGAATCACCATCTAGTTGCTGGTAGTCATTGGAATCACTGCCTAGAAAACCTGGAAGAATGAACATTTGCTTCCTTTAAAGGTATTTCTGTACATAATAAATTTTCCAGAAAATGAAAGACAAAAATCAGGACTCTTTTTCATCCCTTAGATTAAAATTTGTTTTGTTAGCATTCAAAACCAAATGTACAATAAGGAGAAATGTTTTTAATTATTTCTCTCGCCATTATGGTACACATACATACAAGGAGAATTTTTCTGTGCAGATAAAATGCAATATTAGGTCAGAAAAGTTTGGTTGGAGCCCACAGCTAACCAGTCTCATCACTATTCCCTTTCTCATCAAAGGATCAAACAGTCCTACGTTTTAAGTTAAGCATATCAAGACTTTCTGAAAGCTATTTAAAGAATAGCTTAAAGCTATTCTTAAAATATTCTGAAAGCTTATATTTAAGAATATTTTAAAATATTCTTAATACTGTTATGCAATATATATATACTAATGCAAATTATATATACTAATGAATCTCAATATCTTTCTAGAAATATTTCCCTCCTTTCCCATAAATACTTCTGGTCTTTGTAAAGAAACAGTTTCTCTAAGGTACAGCACTTACATGTGAGAGAAGTCGGGTTGAGCTTTAACCTGTCACATTCAGATGTCCCAGGATTAAGAGTATCTTCATCATAAATATTTTGACGTAAAATGTTCCTTATAAAATCTGGGTTCATACTGTTTTCCATAAATCCCTCTGTTGATGGTGGTACAGAAAACACTAGCTGATAAATTACAGTGGAGCTTTCATTACTGAAAAACAAAGTCAAGGATGAATGTCTTCAAGTATCAACAGGACCTTTTCTTCTTCCTATTTGAAAGACTGACTTTTCATGTCAGTGTTGGGATGGATTTTTTTTTTTTAAAAACCCAACATTTCCCCAAGAAGAGCATTATGAAAGAAAACTGTCAAAGATGCCAGTTTCTGCCTCACCCTCCCTTCTCAGAACAGCTCTTGAAACTGGGTACGTACTTGAAGCCAGCCACGGACATGTTTTCAAATGCACAAGGGGCAATTGGACGTGTGTTCTAATGGGATGCACTTTTCAGTACTGGTGGTTCACAAGAAGCTACTGATAAGAGGTGTTGCAATATCCTGTGCATAGTTTCACTAGAAACCTGTAGGAAGGTTTGTTTTCCTGCTAGCAGTATCTGGGACCACGCAGCTGTGCTCCTGACTCAGCTCTGGGGTGGATTACACAAACCAGTGAACTGGAGACCATCTGTGGAGATTTCACTTTTTGTGACTACAATTCAACAGCTATCTTCTGTACTCACAGAATTCAAAACATTTTCAAAAAGTACTTGAATGGGGGAAAATAAAAGGAAAGAAAGAGAGGGAGACAACAAGAGAGAGACATCAAAGAGGCAGAGAGAGTTATTAGCTACTCAATGTATGCGCAGAACTACAGCTTTGTACTTGATGGTCTAAATCATAGTTATACCCATAAGGCTAAGGAGCTACAGTTCACTGTTAACAAAGCTGGCATGCCCAAGGCTGGCAGGGCAAGGGAGCTTATTCCTCAAGGGAGCAAAGTGCCTTCATGACTGCCACTTGCCACATTGCAACGTGGCTGGTCCTCTGTCATTGCTATCTCAAAGGACCTGGGACTTTGCAAAACTACTTCCCTTGATTTTTTCCTGTCTTTCTAAATTCTTTTGTAAGAGTTCTTTTTCAGAAGTCCTTGGGAAAGCTCTCTGTTTTCCCTTGCCTTCTTGCTATCTCTCCATGACAGGAGACATGTAAATTCCTCTTGCCTTTATCCATTTTGGGAACAAAATTATTCTCTCCTGCCTATGAACCCTGTTTTATATATTTAAGATTATTTAAACTACATCAATCTTAAGCATCTCCAGCTATTAATTTCCCTTTTAATAAATATCCTTGAATGTGTTTATTAAGGGCTGCAATTGGAACCAAAGATAACAGAGATGATACTTCACAGCAACAATATGTTCCTGTCATTATATAATTTTAGCAGCATTTACCATTTACACCAGATGATCCTTTGACCAGTTTTCACTGCCTATACACATAATTTTCCCCTAACAACCCATTTTTCAGAGATTTAAATATTGTACATATTTACATAAGCAAATGTATGTTTCATCAAAAGCCTGTAATTTTCAGATAACTTTGGTGACAGAAATTGCTTACCTGAAAGAAATCACCTGAGCTGACCTAAAGTAACGTCCTAAAGCTGGAGATGAGTTGTAGACCTCTGTTAGCTGAGAGAGAGAGAGAAAAAATGTTTCTTCTATTCAATCTTTTTTGTCCTCACAAATTAAAAAAAAACCAAAAAAACACAGCAAATAATTCTTACAAAGTGCTTTAAGGAGCACAAAAACAGGTGCTGAAGGTCAAATAACAGCAAATATCTGCCCTGGAAATGGTAGAGAGACATTTAAATTTCACAGACAAGTTAATTGTACATTTGAGTGATTGCTGTGTAACCTTAACACAATGGAGGCACTCAAGGTGAACTAAGAGCATGTGCTCATGCTGCCATGTGCAAATAATGCTGTTAGGTTTGGGATCTAATTAGTACCAAAAGGCTTTTCTAACTCTTACTTTGTGGGGGGGAGGGTCTCTGTCTTGAGATTGCCTTCCCACCATGTCCAAATGATCTTTGCCATGTATGCTGAGCATATTTCAGCTGTAACTCAGAGCTGTGCTGGCTCAGCAGAAATCATCGCTATAAACCCAGGCTGTAATCATGTACTCATAAGAGAATGCAGCACACAGGATGTTTAGCCCCTATTATGCTTAGATGACTTTCACAGGCCTCTCCTAAATTATTCAATAATTCTGTGAAAAAGGTGAAGACAATGTCTTAACAAATGGTCAAATTTAGGGGGAAAAAAAAATCAACACTTTCTTGTGCTTAAAAGCAGACTTTTTTTTTTTTTTTCCCTAGATTGTGACTTTAAAACGTACAACACATTTTATTTGTGGACTTGGAAATGACTGCGTTGCTACACAGAGAAACAGAAACTTAAAAGGCAAAACACTGAAGCAGAATCAACTTTGCCAAGAATCACATAAACACTTACCCTCTTAGTAATGTCCTCAGAGGAGAAGTGTGAGAGACCACACATTAACTCCAATGTTCCTGAAAAATTGTGAAAATTTCCATTGCTTAGTAATTCATCAGGATCCCAGTAGTCATCCTCATCTGTGTAAACATCTAATAATCAAAAAGAGATAGAAAGGGGAGAAAAAAGTTTCAGATAGCTGAAGTATTGAAAAACAAGCCTCTTGACATTCTCCAGGGTGGCTTTCTCATAGATTTCTTAGGTAAGGACTGAATGGGAAAGACAGAAAAAGTCACCTGAAAAAGTGACAGCACCTGGAGGTCAATCACCCACCTCCATTAGCAAAAGTCATCTGCTCTGGGAGTCTGACAGGCAATGATACCATGGGACCTAAGTCATCCATGGCACTTGTTCCAACATTACAAACATCATTTGCATCCTCATATCCAAATTTCTTCTTGTGATATTTTCTCACTTAGCTACAAACTTGAATTGTCACCTGATCAGGATACAAGTTGCTTGCTGCCTGATAAGATAAAAGCATTCACAACAACTACTGAACTACAGTACCACCCTCTGCAGTCTGTATCCCAGTTCCTTCAGCAGTTTACTGAAGGACATTAAAGGATGTTATTGTTGCATTTGTCTTCTATTAGAGTGCACATATTGCATGTTTGTATTACTGTAAGCAAGAGCGAGATACTTACTAGAATAAAGAATTAGGCTGATGAGAATGACCAGGAAGATCACTAGAAATATTGTAGATATAACCATCCATAGTTTACACTTCCAGAAAACTACATTCCTGCATGATTTCCAGGGATCTCTCTCCTAGGTATAAAAGAGAAGGGCATATTGATTAATCAAATAAGGCAGGAAAAGATATTGAAGGATGTCTCTGCTGTCACATTTAGAAACAAAACCCCCACATAGATGGGAGAGCCTCATTGGTAAGCAATGCCCTACATCAGGGGTTCCCAGCCTTGACTATTGCTGCAGGAGAAAATGTAGTCCTAGAGAAGGTAAAGGACGTTCACTTGAGAGAGACCATTCCCCTTTGTGCAGGAGTTCTAACTCTTGAATGGCCCATAAAGCTAAAGTACTGCAAAGGTGATTTCTTGGCTCCACGTTTTGTTTGTTTTTTTTTTTTTAACTATGTGAATTAAATTTGCATATTCCACAAGCTCTCCTTTTAATGTTTTTCATCTCTCCCAACTGAAAAAGGTGTCTCTGGAGGTATTTCCAAAATCATTCACCTCTGCAGCGTTGATGATGTCAACCTGCATAGCTTCTGAATGCCAGCATCCAATGCAAAGGCAATGCTATTCAATAGATAGTATTGTGTTAAACCCTCCATAAAATAATCGAGACTTTTATAGCTGACTTACTTTTTCTTCAGAAGATTGGAAACTTGAAGGCTATTGAGTGTACTTAACAGAAAGTTTAATGCAAATCTCACCTGTTCTATGAGGTCAAAAGCAAACTTCACCCAAAAAAATTGTGCATGTATGTACCTTCATATGGGAGAGAAAGGACAATACCTTGCCTGTTATTTAACTTTTAATAAGATTGAAAACCATGACAGAAATTAGTCTTTTAATGAGTTAATCCAGCAGGATGAATATTAAAAAAAAAAAAAAAAAAAAAAAAAAAAAAAAAAAAGGTGAGGAAAAAAACCAGCAAGCTTAGGTGATGGTCAAAACCGGTAACTTCATCTGTTTTGTTCCACAGCCAGAAGAATCAGAAGACTGAAGCAAGGCTTGAATGCATAAGCAGACCATGCTGTCTTTTTAATTACTCCTCTCCCTCCCTCTCCATCCACCATAAAGGTAGTAATAAAGTCTATGTCCTTTTTGTCACCAGTACCAGGAAAAGCATATGCTGTAGGTTGTCTGGGCCACCCACACACATGCAGATTGGCAGGAACCAGCTGCTGCTGGAGGCACTAATCCAGGTTTTCTTCCTTTACTTTTTGAACTTTCTAAGAACACAGAATAACAGAGAGGCTTTCACTGAATTTACTGAATTGAGCAGCTGGCTAAAAGTTTCTATGTGCCCACCCAGGGACACCAGTTCTCGGGATCTCCTCTGGTCACGATGACCCCGAGATATATCAAAAGTCTCTTTTCCCCAACCCTGCTGTCGAAGAAGGAGTCAGAAGTCTTCGGCTGTTGTTCTCAAGGTGGTTTATTATTTCTTATCTAAAACTTTTTCTGCCTGGCCTGCCGAGGTCCGTTCAGCAGGTCAGTCTGAGGCATACTGCACTGCCCTAAGGTGGAGCTATCTCTTTATACTAAAAACTATGTGTACTTTATTTACAGTTATTGTCCAATACCTATCATCTATGTTGGACGGTGTACTTCTACTTTAAACCAATCAACCAGAAGATGGAGGCTAGGAAGAAGAAGGAAGAAGAACAGGACAATGCCCAAATTCCTCCATCTTGTCCCCTAGACCCCCATAGTAAAATTCTTCAAAATTCCACCTTTCACCCTGTGACAACTACTGTTATGCTACTTAAACTTTTGTGACTTGTAATTCTTCATATAAAGTTGGTAATTTGCTCCATGGGTTGAGATCGAATTCCCAAGTGTCTTTGTCTTCCTGCTAGGGTCTCCGAGCCCCTGCCAGGATTTTGAACCATCCAGGGCACCCAGAGGGATGTCCTGCGTTCTGACAGTGGCAGGGAACAGGGAGAGAAAACAGACACACAGAGAAACAGCTTACAAGGAAGATTCCTTCAGGAACAGAGGCAGAAAAAGCAAAGCACTCTCTGTAGAAACCTCTGCACACAGAACTTTGCTCTACTGGAGAATGAAAGGCAAACACGGAGTATGGTTTTGTTTACAGCATACTTTCAGCTGTCATCACATTTACTTTTTTTAAATTTGATTTTTAAAATATTTTAGAAGTATTAATTTCAATTTAAGACTTAACACTAGTGTATAGTTTTGTATTTTAAAAATTTTAGAAGCCACTACTGCTTAGAGTGCAACTATGAAATCAGCCATAGCCCCATCAGCTGAGACAGGCAGCTGCCAAGACCAAGTTTTGATTGAGCTACCACATGTTTAGACTATCTCAAAATACAACTCTTAATCACATATAGCAAACTGGCTTGATCCCAAGAAAACATTCCGCTCCACAACTAGTTCAGCACCTTCCAAACTTTGCCCATAGGTCAGGGAGAAGCAACAGCAGCCGAGAAATTCTCTCCCTGGTGGGCAGGGCAGCTCTGATTAACCTGCCAGCTGAGCAGAAAGCAGAGCATGGTTACTTCCAGCAGTCTGTATACGATGGGGTGAAAAATGCCAATCATTTGTTTTTAAAATGTTACAGGTTTAATAGTAATAAAATGGTTACAAAAATAGCAATATAATTAGAGTAATAAAAATTTGGACAATTTGGATTAGACAATATGAGACAATAAAAAGAAAGAGTTACGGACAGTCTGAGTACCTCTTTCTGGGCAAAATAAGCCGGAAAAGGGACACATGTTAACAGAAGATTAACCCTTAAGAAAACCAGCCTGTTGCATATTCATACATGATGCATAACTCCATTCAAACAAAGGATTCTGCCTGGTCAGTGTCAGCTTCTTCCTCTTAATCCTAACAGCATCTTCAAGGCTGAGCAAGGCAGGAAGAAGTTAGTTTCTTCTGATAAGAGAGCAATAAATTCTTTTTCTCTGAAAGATTAAGGTGTCCTGTGGCTGCTATCTCAGTGCAAGTCCTCTTTTTTAAAAAAGTATCTTACATAGCATAGTTTCTATTTTAACATTAGGTTATAATCTAAAACTATATTTAACACACTACTTAAGAAAATTAATACAGCATAACTTTCTAACATAACACATATAATATTTATTTTAATATTTGCAAAAAGCCAATCATAAAATACGCATTTTACAGACGGGAAGCCCCTTGCTATAATCAGCACAAAGAGACCTCAAATAAAAACTCAGTTCTGGAAAGGGGAAGGATAAACCCAAGAGTAAGGTTTCTCAAGACAGTCCAGCAGTCCTAGCTCCCCCTGTCTCCTCCCCTCTCCGCTGCTCCTCTTTGCACCTCCCGGAATGTGTCTGGCCCTGCAGAGAGCTGATTCAGCTTTCCAGAGCACAGGAGAAGGAACTGACCCCTGGCACAAGAGAGCAAAGGGGCTCCCCTAAGGAAGCAGTGAAGTCACAGGAGAGGGAAGGGAAGGGAAGGGAAGGGAAGGGACTGGCGGTGTGTCAGGCAGACAGCTCCCGGTGCGGTCAGCCGTGCCCACAGAAAAGCGGGAAACATCTTGGCACCGCCACAAATACTCCTGCAGTAAGTAGTGAAATTCACTGTACAGCAGTCACGTGTGACTGTTATTCCTCTGCCAGAATTAGTCTGTTCTGTAGCTTTAAACTAGGGACTAGGAGCTACCTCCTTAGGAGTCACATGCTGACCTTAACTGAGGGTTTGGAGTGTTCTATGAACACAAATTCATAATGGTTAGCAACTGAAAATTACTCAGAGATAAAGAGAATACAGCATGCTCTGTTTGAGGACATCTTATTTTTGCTTGGCAGCACTGTTTCCTGGTTAACTTCTACTGAAGGAAAGCCTGGTTTTAAAACTTATTTCACCTTTTTTCTGGTTTTGAGCCCAATTCCACTGATAGCACATTAGAAGATAAAACAAAATTCAGAGAACCAATTACAGTTTCACTTTCCAAATTAAAAAGCTTAAAATCCCACTCTCAGAACACTTAATTGATAAGGAAAAAGAATGATATTTAACAGTTTTTTAGCCTCTTTACCTCAAACAGCAAATTAAATCACCCCTACAAAATGTTCTGTCATTTGTGTCATTTCTCTTGCTGTGTAGTATTTCCCCCACTGGAAGGATCAAATGACCAAATGAAATTCCTACCTTTCTTGTTTGAGCATTTAGGGGCTTGTCATGATCAGTCTCACTTTCCTCCACCTTATGTTCCTGTAATTCAATAATCTCATGCTCCTGAGCAGAGCTGTGCCTTTTCATTGCTTCTGTCTCAGAAGAGGGTCCTCTGCGAAGACCTCTGTCTCTGAAGTGAGCACGGAGCCAGCTCATTTCCTTCTTGTTTCAGCTGCAATTATGGTCAGTAGTAGCTCTGACACGGGGCTGGAAACAGGAAGAGTGAGGATAGCGTTCATAGGAGAGGTCTCAAAATACTGTTCTTCCAAGGAATTCCCCTAATTTAAGTCAGCTGCCCTAGCTGCAGAGAAAGGGAAGGCAGAGGAAGTATTGATTTGCATAGCTGTGAGAACTCTGACTCTCAGCTGTGCAATACTAGGTTTTCCAGTTTGTCTACCTGCCTGTACCAGCCCTTGACAAGCAAGTGACTAAACCTTCAGCAATGCTAAAGGACGATTTTGAAAGGAACCAGTGTTTTCTCTGCTGCTGTCAGCCAAAACAATAAAATGTTATTACTGTTATCCATGCAGCTAAACAGATGCGGTGCTGAACAGCACGAACAGAGTAAAAGTTCATAGAGCATGTTGTTTGCTTAGGCTGGGACTCTGTCAACACTTGTGATTCTAGTCTCCCTCTGTAGTCAATAAAGAAATGAACACTAATGACCTTTGTGCTGTAAATTATTCTCCCTCTAGCTATTATACTGCCTAAAATCATATCTGGTGTTACAGAAGCATTTATGTCCTTCAACATACTATCCAATCCAAACCTGAGAAGCTGCTTTCAGGTAAAAAAACCCCAGAGGACATAGATAAATAGAAGAGAAAGATGGCCTTAAATTTCAACCTGTGCTCTACAGGACATGCTTTTATGAAACAACCGTGGTGATTCAGTCTGTGCTAGCTTCCCACACGCACTCTCGTGTGCACTTGGAGTCACTCACAACAGCTTACTGTAGCCAGGGACTGATTACGACCCCACCCTCCTAAATATCCTTGATCCTACCTCATCTTATTTCTCCTGTTCACATTCCATCCCCATGTTTCTCCTTCCTTCCCACAGAGCATCTCTCTCCCCTCTGATTCAAAAGGTCTGGGCAGGTAGCTGGTAACCACACTCTTCCTCACTCTTTTGTCCCAGCACAGGGAGTATCATGCATTAAGAACCAAACACAGCCTCTCTCCCCAATCCCCTTTCCTGCTGCCACTCACAGCACGACTCCTTTTTCCTGCCAAAAACTCAGAGTGCTCTCCCCTCGTCCCACCACTCCAATTTTCTCTTTGTGCAACTCACCTTGCTTCTTCTGCTGCCTGAAGCACACCCAGGGTTTGCATTCCTGATGTCACGTCACACCCATCCAGGCAAAGGTACTCCATGAAAGTGAGCATGTCTTAGGTTTATTCCACAAGTAAAAAGAAATACAAATTGTCTACCCCACATGTTTTGGTTGTGAGAATCTTTAAAACTCTGGAGGACTGAAGGTAAAACTGAGCAGTCATCAAGATCAGAACATGTATCTGGATCCACAAAACCTTACTTGGGTCATCTTACACTAGAAAAGCCTTTATCTGGTTCTCACTACTCCTGCTGGATATCAGGTTCAATTATTCAATTTCTACTCACAGTAGACCTTCCTGCTAGATTGTCTGAAATCAAAACTGTTCCTCTAAGACAAAGAGTTAATGATTATAGACTTCTTGCCATGCAAAGGCCAAAGTCCTTATTTTATTTTATGTATTTATAAACTGCTTGAAGTCTTTCTTTCATCTGGGGGGATCTAACTTCCACACTTGTTGCATTTCTTCTATGTGCAATTCTGACCATTTAGCTTTACAAATCAGGAAAGTCCAAGGCACCAATGCAGTTCTGATCGCACCTGGAGTTTAGAGTTTCGGAGGCACATCCAAACAAATAAAACATAGCCCCTTGCAGTTTTAGCACATTTATTAAAAAGGAAGATGTGAATAATTGAGTAAAGAAACAACCCTCCTAATATACAGGGTTTGAATATAGCTTATGCTGTAAGTTTGACACAAGCTGGGGCAAGGTGCCCAACAGGAGAAAGGAAGGAAAAGCAATAACAGTATTAGAAAGAGCAATCTCACTGCATGCAGATTACAGTGCTAGCTCTTTTCAACATTTTCCCCACATGCTGCCAAGGTAGGACTAACATTAAACAAAGATCACATACTTATGTACTGCAGAGTAAGTGTGCTGTGTGGACAGCAATAAAAGGTGTTCAAACTGCCAGCTTCATCTTTTAAATATATATATTAAAGGTGAAAGCTAAACACTTCCAAATATCGAGCACAGCTTAAAGACAATCTAAATGGTCTTAAGGCCATCCAGACAATTCTTTTATTAAGCTAAGAACTAGTATTCTGAAGTCCCATAAACAGCTTTGGAAACCTTAAATTGGCTAGATTTGGAGTGATAAGCTCATCAGGAGATTATAAAACCTAGATTTACTACCAGGGTTAAAGGAATGTTGCTGTCATTTCTTATTTTACTTTCTTTGAGCCCAAGGATGCATCCAACCACATAAATCCATTTTCCTTCTATGTCATTTCAATTTAGTATGGCCTTGTGGTCACAGCCCAGAAAGATACACACACAAAAAAAAAAAAAAAAAAAAAAAAAAAAAAAATTCCTGAGCCTGAAACTCTGCTTATTGTGGACCAAGAACAGGACAAAAATAATCCTAACCTACCAGGAACATGCTAAAAATTCACAATGGATGCCAGAGCCAGAGCTGGAGGAGTACACCTGTAACATATTGCAAATATTAAATCCTACATTTGGTTCAAATTCTGAAGAGAATTTAAGAGAGCATTATAATTTCCTTTTGAATGAATTACAACTCATTCATTCCTTCCTTTTATTTAGACATCATCCAAAGAACCGAAATTATACTCTTCCAGTTACTTAATGAAAATTTCTTGCATCCTAGCATTTTTTGAGCTATATATCTGGTATTTTTAAGAAAACACAGTGGAGACCCCAAAATTTATAGCCCAGAAAGTAAAAGTCATGCAGTCACACATAACTAGAAAGAATTAATCTCAGCTTTGTACACAATACACTATTTATATTTTTGAGAACTATAAAATAATTATTTATGTTTAGAATCCTGTAACATTCTTAAAGAGTTGAATATATATGGCATGTGGCCATTTTTACCCAGATATGCATATGTGGAAACAAATATAGATAACAAGGGATAAGGAAGGAGAGAAGGATTACAAAGGAGGTATGGCTGGATTTTTATTACAGGTTATAATCCATTTTATTTTGTTTTTAAGGCCGTGCTGTTTCTGCACATAGCCATAAGGAAGATAAATCATAAAGAACCTGAAGTTCCTCTGAGGCTGAACAGTTATTGCTAGATGAACCACAAGTGATAGTTTCTTCATTAAAAAAATGCATCCTTTCACCAAGGCACAGTCAGTGGCATTTTCGTGTTGTATCATCAAATTGGCTATAGCAGGAAGCAGCTTTCACACAGAGGTGATCTGCATTTTGTCCTTGGCTCATCAGTGTGTATTCCGATGGATCCAGTCATAAAGTGCTGTCACCTTGGTGTACATACCAGGACGATTGTGCTGAGCACACCCTTCACCCCAGCTCATGATGCCAGCAAGATACTATCTATTGCCCTTCCCTGTGCAGGCCAAGGGACCTCCAGAATCCCCCTAAAATGAAGGAAGTCCAACCATTAGTGCACACACACAGAGCACTGTAACAAAAAATAGGTTATTTAAGAGCAGTAAATACCTGCCCCTCTTTTTCTCAAATTAAAACTTAATATTAATTAAAACTTACTTCTGGATATAATGTACTCAGCCAGATGCCATATTTATTCAATTGTTTTAAATTGCGGATGTAGCACACTTACCAATATAAAACCAATGGCAGAAGCAGTTTATAAAATTACTCCTTGATAATTTCCCATTACAGGGTTCATAGAATAACTCATCACAGCCCAAATAGGGAGAGAAGAAGACAGGGATGGAAATAGGGAATTCTACTACAATTTGAAATAGGGAATTCTACTGCAATTTGAAATCTACTATAAATTGTTCACAGGTTGAAGGCAGATCTCTTATACTGGGTGTTAAATAGGAACAGAAAGATACCACAAACCCCAAATAATAAAAAAAATCCAACAAACCAAAACCCAACAAACAAACCAGGCACAATTAAGTATTATCAGCAATTTTATAATCCGGACTGAGTCTACAGTAGACTACTTTGTTGAGGCAGAAGAAGGAACAAAGACTAAGGAATGTGCAAATAAGAACAGGTTTCTTAAATGGAGCATGCAGGTTTGCACAGCAGTGTAGAAAAATAAAAAATTCCATTCAATTCAGTTCACCAGATCAAAGTGCATTTGAGCCCATCAATGGTTTTTTTGCCTTTCATTACTTTAACCTTCTCTGACCTAGTCTGTTGATAGAACTCTGGGCAATTACAGTGCAGCTCCTTTCTGCAGCTGTTCCTAACGCACACAAGGCAGTCAGCAGCCTCCAAATTGACCCTGGGACAATTTGAGCCCCCAGCTGGAGCCAAAACATGTAAGAGGTCAGGAGAAAGCCATGTACTGAGGAAAGAGTAATAACAGAAAGCTTTCATCACCCAACCAAACAAAATTATCTGTTATGGTGGTACAAAATTATCATGAGATAAGAGAAGAAGCCAGAGTTCTTCCTTTCTCACAGGCTGCTGTCATACTAGAAATGTCGATAATCCAAGAGACTGATGTCAAAGTGACTTGGGAAAGGAGGCTCAACCAATTACTCAGCGAGTTCTGAAAGAACAAAGGGGGTGTATACCACTAGGGAAAGGAAGGATCCTAAGAAGAGCCAAGATCAAAGAACACCCTAGAGTGATAAGAAAACAGAATGAAAGGTGTTTGGAAGCTTCACATAACTTGTGCAACATGTGCACAGCTTACATGTCCAGGAAGGAGTAAAAGAGAACAGGACCCTCACAAGTCTCAAAGCAGGTTTAGGGTGTTGTGGGGCTTTCCTGAGTTCCCAGTGTCGTTCCTCTCTAGCACTGTACAGGAAACACATACTATATATTACATAATATATACTAGTGACAGGAAGAAGGGGGGGGGGGGGGGGGGGAGAAAAACAACCCCCCAAAAAAGC